TTCAGCACTTTATTGTCCTTTAGAAGCCTCGAATTTTCCTTCAATATCTTTTGGTATTTTTCATTGAGCACACGCAATTCGTTGTTTTGTTCAACGTTTGTTGAATCTTCATCGTGTAGGCGATGCTTTTGTGAATTTTCGGTTTCCTCTTTTTGAATAATTTTGACCTCTTCATCAAAGTTCTCCTTGAATATGCTTGGCATTAGCATATAATTTTTTATTTTATTTTTTTGTTCATTTTTTGCTTTGGATTTTGGCATTTTTATTTCTTTTTATTTCTTTGTTTTTTCTATTAACTCAAAGCAATTGGTGCAATTGTTGCTGATTTATAATTTTGTATTTCGGGCGCTAGTATGTAGATGTGATACACAGATGTGTGTGTGTGATACACTTGTGAATATTGTCAATATTGTTTTTAACGATATATGGAATGCGCTCATACACACACAAGCGTACGCATGTTCGCATGCTCTGTATGTAGCTGCGCACACTGTGTGTTATATATATATATAATATTCGACGGGGTAAATATAATGTACAATTGTATATACACATTGCATAGCGTCGAATAACGTCGATTTGACGCGCACAGCGTTTAGGTTTCATATGGGTAATTTGAAACTATTATAAATATATGAAACTATTTTTATATCGCATTCACATGCACATTTTTAAAAAGTGATATGTATAAAATCTTAATGGCAATTATTTTTTAAATTATGTTTTTCTGGTTAAATGACAAAAATGATCCCGAAAGTTATTCAAATTATTGAAAGTTTCAGATTTTCAGAGACCCTCATTTTCAAGTTTTTCATTTTACTCGATTTTTAAATATAAAAACGCTTTTCAAAGCTGATATTTACATCATACCAATACATCGTTCTTGAGAAATTCAAGTTCTTCAACCTTCTATTAAATTCACACTATTAAAAACTAGGTGTGTTCGGGAAAAAAATAAAATAACGAAACAAATCGCAATTAGTCTTATTAGACTTATCTAGGATTTAATGTAAGACACGAAATCTAAATTTTTTGAAATTTCTGTGTAAATCAATTTATGTTGATTTTGCAGTTCATGACACAATATTAAATATTACAAAACGAAACCCGGACTTACGTGAATTCTGTTTGTCTTCTGTGGCTGGCTGGAACTAAAATCCAATAATAATCGGTCATCATAGAAAATCCGAAAAATTCTATGGATTCTTTGTTTAGATTGAAGTGTTCAAATTTAAGGCAAATCATTTTTGTTACCTTTACCAATGGTGAAGTAACGAAGGCATTTGCATATCAAAATCGTTATATAATGTCAACATAATCGATGTCATTTAAATTAATGCGTGCCAATTCTACGGTGTAATACAAAGTACTTGTCGAAATAAGGGGATATCAGTTCATTAGTGAAAATCAATTCAATTTACATCAGTTAAGGAAGTCATTTTCAAATATACTCATGTTTTTCTAACTAGTGGTCATTTGATAAACATATTTGTGCCTACGGCACTTGTAATTACCGCTATACCAAAAAAATGAACATGATACTTCATTTACGTGGACATTCAAACAATATTCATCAAACGCATCCTATTCACTCCCATTGAAATGCTTGATATGTCACAAAAACCTTGCATGGCAAATTGAATGAATCTTGAACTGGGTTCGCCACTGCTATGAACGTTGTGTATAGTAGTCCTGTTAAGAACGTCGCCTTCTGAAAGAAGTTCATGAACAAGTTCAAATTACACTTTTCATCACACAACGCCGTTCAAATCACGTCGCATTCCATCCATTTTTCATGAAATGCATTCAATCAAAATAGTATAAAATCACATAACAAAATTCAAAAACGCACGCAAAGTGATAGAATTGATGATGAAATCTAAACTTGAGTGTTTCAGTTAAGTTGAGTGCTATTGGCATGAGTGCCATCTGTCGGAAGTCGTCACAAGTGTAAATAAAAGCTTCCAGACTTCACTCGTTTTCGGAATTTTACTCAAAAGCGTCCCAAAGAAGAAAACACTCAAAAAATTGAAATGAAGAATCACTCAAAAGGTTCCAAGTAAATATGTCTCAATTTTATCGTTTTTACAACAAAAAACAACTCAAATTTGCGTTTGAATTTCAGCATTCCTGAAGATGAACCAGCTTTTCCGCTTCTTGAGTCTCTTTGAACAAGCATGTTCACCATTGAAAACGGCATAGTTCCGCAATAGCAATGACATCACCTCAAATACATTAACTTTAACATTTGATGAAGTATTAAAAGGAATGAAAAAAATCTCATCAAACTTTTCAAGAGAGAGAAACATCTTATGAACATTCAATTTACCTTTATGTCTTACCCAAATTGGATCTGTAAACAATCCACATCGCATTGTATTGCTAAGGTGATTACTGTGAATATTCAAAAATACGTTATTATTGAAAGAAGGTTGCGACCATTGAGTTTGCTGAAGTGCATTGACGCAGAAACGTTGGAAAAATCGAAATTCACCAACATTTTCACTCTTTTGCATGAACCCTAGTTTGTGCGGCAGTACATTTGTAACAATTGACAAAATGTGGAACACATGAACCAACGAGGCATGAACTCATGTGTTAATTGAAATTTCAAGCATAAATCATGGAATTGTTGTTGCATTGGCTGATTTTGTCGGTGTACAAAACAAATCTTTTCTCGATGGAACCATGTTTATTCTCGACAAAGTATTCATCCGGCATAATTTCTTATTGGTATTGATCCGAAAATTTCGGGTGAAAAAAAATCGTTTTGACCTATTTCTTGGAGAAATCGCGATGAAGATCAACCCATTCCTTCGTAATGAAAATGTTTGTTACACAAATCAATTACGGAAATGTATGTTTTTCAATTTGTGACGTTTTCAAAATCATTTGCTTCGGAAACGCTTATGCACAAATTGTTCTCATCTTCATTTTACAATCCGGAATATTAAATATTGAATAATTTCAAATTTGAACGATACTCGACGTATTTGGACCAATGAACATGATGAATGTTCACATGAATTTGTGTAGAATATTTTCATAAATTCGAATTTTGGTTTTACACATATGAAAATCGGCATTCGCCGTAAGCAACAACCATTGAAGTCAAAAGTGATTCAAACATAACGATGCATTGGAAACCATTAAGTTTATCAGTCAATGATTTACCTCTTGAAATGTTTGGCAACCGAAGGCGATTATCATAATTCGTTTTTGGCTGATATGAAATCATGACGGCTCTCTTTTTTTCGGGCAACAAAAGAGCAATAACAGTTGGTTTTCATGTGAACTGTTTCGATATAGAAGTGTGCATATGCGTCATAAATAATGTAAGAGGATATGAGTCTTATAAGTTATAACGATGGATACGGCATAAGTCATGCATTTCACACAGGCGAAAAAATATATAGAAGAATGGTGCCAGCTGTGACAAGATTTAATGGCAAAAAGATGATGAACGATTAAGAATTTATGCAAAACACACACTCAGATGCCAGATGACATTTATCAAAACAATCATTGCGAACTTTTTTTCACACACACACATACGAAATTTACTATTATTGTTCATTTAATGCACGACTGTTTACATATTCATCTTTATTTTTTTTTTGTCTCTTTCGGAAAAAAATCGGTCACATTGAATTCACACGTGCAGCATGACAACAGAATTTACACTTTGAATGCACACACAAAAATCCGTTTATTTCCTGACGTGACGGCATATGGATTGAAATGGCAAATTTCAAAAATATGTAATGCAAAGCATACATTTCAAACATATCACGGAATGTATGGATTTTGATTTATTGACAAAATATTGTTGTGCAAACACATTTGTGACTTACGGAAAAAGGAGTTTTTTTTCGGGTACCTTGCCTTATTCACTGAATAATGGTCATTGATGTATGGAAAAAAATATAAGAAATAAACGGAAATAAAATGTGAATAGATTAGTTGTTAAAATTAGCTTTTATTGTTGGAAATTGAATTGTTTTGATAGATGCACGCCCACGATTGGAATTCACAAATATGGTTTTCATATTGCAAAGATTGATATCAACGAAGATAGCTGTAGTAGTGCCACTTTGACTTTATTTAATTTTTTGAAGCAGTCATTGGATACTATTTCTAAACCTTTCTTACCTTTTGTCCCTTTTCCAAACGATTTTATGTAGTCGCATGTGATGCATACTCAATTGATTGAAATGTCAGTTAATGCGCTGTATGACACTCTTACCTTTTTTGCTCATTTCGGCATTCAATTTAGATTATTTAATACTCAATTGGTTTACATTCAAAGCTTGCTTGGATACAGGGTTCGCAACCCCGACCGATACCTGACCGAATCGTAACTTTCGACCGACTCTCAACGGTCTCGAAAAACGGTGAGTCTGCGAAAATATTCCATGGTGTCTTCGAAGTGTCAGATCTCGGGATTCATACAATGGTGTCACGGAGGTTCCGCGTTTTTTCGGTGAATAGTTTGATGTAAATAGCTTTTCCGCTGAATCAATGCTTTATCCGGCTTTATCAATTTACTTCTTCATTGAAGCGTGCGTTGCTGCATTTGACGCCGTAAATAAGTTTTTCATCAAAATTTGACAAAAGCTTTAATAATCTTCAATACTTAAACAACAAAAATCAATTGATGCATTCAAAACACTATAGTGTTGGTTTTTAATTACAAACGTGGTATTTCGTAACCTCGACCAATAATCCATCTCGATCATGATTGCGATTTTGTCATAAAAAAATTTCAATAAAAAATGTAGAAAAGTTCCCTTCGCCTATTGAGTATACGCGGTATGAGTTTAATAGAAAACTATTAATTCCAATCAACTCGAACGTCATTGTGAACAAGCATCAAATGAAATTCTAATCATGCCACCGACTAGAAAAAAAACTAAAACTTCTTTGCCAAGCTTCTACAACAATTTCTTTTATTCGTGATGCAAACAATGAAATAAATTCAACTGAAATTATTCACATATAGATTATAATTTTATTATTGCATAAATTTTCTGCGTCTCGAAACCTCACAATACGAAACCATGTTGTTTTTCTTTTCATCAAGTTAAAGTTCATACGAACATAATTAAAATAAATGTGGTTTGCCTGGAATTCTAAAAATAAAACTAATATGTGGGAAAGGTCATTCTCCATTTCCATTTATAATATGAAAATGCCATGCATTACATCGAAGTTTTCATTCGCATTAACATTTACAGCTCTTATATAATAAGTTTTAATGAAAGAGAGATATTGGTTTTAACTACATGGTAACTAAATGGTACAATCGACACTTGATTTATGCGTTTCACATGTGGCTTCATTCGAAAGTCAGTGCTAAGCGGGAGATTTTTTTTTGCATACACCTAGTGTGTGAAAGGGAGTATTTGAGATTTTATTTCTAGCAGAAATTTTCTACCGTCTTTTAAAATTTCTTCGTTTTGAATGAAAAATGGGAAAATGGCGGTGAATTTTGACGGCGAAAAATATAGGAAATATTCAAATTGAGATTTTGAGTAATCATTTTCAATTTTGGAAGATGAAAATCGACAAATTTAATTTATTTTCGTTTTTCGCGTGAACATTTTTTTGTCAGACGGTTTTTTTCATCTCATGTCTCGCTGAAGTTATTTTTGAAAAAGAGAAAGTTAAACGTGAGCTTTTGGAGACAAAAAAGTGGTACAATTGACTCTATTAACTCGTACCATTTGATTTTTGCCGATTTTTATTGAAATTCGTTGACTTTCATTGAAATATCGGAGTCCGGCACAGAATGGTCTTTAAGTCCAACTTAAGAGTGTATTGGAATTCATCAATGGATTCACAGCTTCTGAGTCAAATGTTCAGACCAGGTGTCCAACGAGTTTGGAGTGTTGACCAGGTGTCCCCTCCGAAAACCTCATATGAACACTTTTTTTGGCTTTTCACTTTTCTTGCAGTCGAAATGAACCCCTTACATAAAACTTTTAAGCTTAAAAGATAAAAAAACCTCCGAAAACTTTGAAATGAGTCCCTTCCTTGAATCAAGGACCTTGATAACCACCATCACAAGAAATGAATGAATTGGATTCTACTGTCTTTCTAATTAATGCCATAATCCCCGGATCGATTGCGTAGATATATGTCATCATTTAGACAATACAAAATCGATAATTTCCACATTTATGTCACATTAAATTTCTATTAATTCATAATCACTTCATCTAATTTAATAATACTGTGGGATGACTTACCAATTATGCTCACTTATACAATATCAAAACGTTCATATATCTTAACTTATAGTGTGTAGCTTTCTTCTGTATACAATAAATTCCGTAAAAATAAATGAGTAGTAAATTCAGTGTTTTTCTTCTGAAACATTTTTGTTTTAGGCTTTTTTAACACTAGACATCTCAATTGTGAATGGGGTTTTCCATATCTATTGAATAAATATCTCTATTTTAATGAAGATTCATTTTGTTCATAGAATAATAATTCACATGGACCGTTTTCAGCAATTATCACATTTATGACTTACAAATAACTCTATTTATCATTCAAAAAATCCAATAACACTATTATTAATATATGGTATTTGCGAACAAGACATCAACGTTCTACACTGACACTGATCTGACAAATGAAGATTAAAGTTAATGTCAATACAACATGAAAATATATTATACTTTATATCTAAACATTTAGCAAATGACCGAAAGCCTCACATTTTCCATATGAAATGATGAAAAGTGCGTAAACAAAACATGAACCAAACCAAAAACTTTTGCCAATAATTTTCATCAACGAAATCTGTATTTCTTTATCTTTCCACTTGTCTGCCTTTCTATCTCTCGCTGTCTCTCGCTGTCTCTCTTCTGTCCAATCTCCTTCGCTTCATAAAATGATTTACATTCACAGTCTTTATCACTGCCGTAATATTCATAATGTCAGCGTTTACTTCAATTTTATTGAGAAATTCACGCCGTTACGTTCTACAACCCAAAATTTGTTGATCTAATTTGAAACCGTTTTTCTTGATAAGAAAATTTATTTATGCCGTTTTCACTCCGGTTGCAACCGTTTCGGTCATAATTCATGTGCTGTGCTGTTGGTGTTGCTGCTGTGCCACAAGGAGAATCATACAACGTTTAAAAGATGCACGTACTCATGAGCGAAATTCGGCAGGCGAATGTCAATAAACATTTACGCAATTTAATACATATTTTACGACATGTAATCAAATGCAACGTGGGAAGTTTTAAATGTGTCAACATGACTCTGGGTCAAAGTCAACAATAATTCAATTCAAATGAATTCATGTCAGATTTATTCGACGATATGAAGGGGTAGACAACGATTTGAATGAGCGTTTTCAATAGCATCTGATGCTCAAATTTCATTGGAATTCATTTTGTTCAACCGGTTGAATTCAAAACAAATTGCTTTTCTTACATCTTGCATCGACCTAATTTTCGAGAAAATTCAATAAGTAGATCAAATGAGAGCTTTGTTGCTAAGCAGAAAAAAGAAGAACATCATTCCGGAAAAAACGTTGTAAATTGGTTGAAATCGGCATTGTAGAAATATTGCGGTATAAGTTGTTCATTACTTGTTTCAATCTAATTGCGAACAAAAACCATTCATGAATATTTGATTGGATAAATCAAATGCCTTCGTTTTCAATGTCGCACACATTTTGACCTTTCCGAGTAGGTGACGCACAACAATAAATGCGTCAAATTTAATTATACCTGGTTTTTGTTTATCCACTTTTTGACTCGATAAAATTACATGTGAACTTGTGGAGCATCTTTGTGCGGTCGGTCGGTGGACAAGGCGTCTTAGCGTTCACAGTCAATAAAACGAGAAATTAGTATTCAAAGTAAGGAATATCCGACATAAATTTTGTCCAGAGACTTTATTTGCACGGTGGGAGTCGATTGCGGAGAAAAACGAACAAATCAGTGGGAATTAGAAATAAAAGTCCCTTGCAAATATTACGCCACGGGTGCGTGTCTAACAAGAAAGGAAAATCGATATAATTAATTATGGCTTGTTTTTTCGCCAATTAATTTTTTCCTTCGGTTGTATGAGCTTTGTATCGAAGGAGTTTTCCGTAATATTTCAGGAAGAAAGAGGGAAATATGGAGGAGAAAGAGATGGAGGAGAAAGAGATGGAGAGAGAGAGAAAAGGGGAGAGAGTGTAAAAGAGACAGAGAAAGCTGATGTAAGAGAGAGAGCAATAAAAGGCGAGTGATTGAGCGTGAGAGAGACAGCGTAAGATAGAGGGAGTGCGAAAAAAGCGGAAGAAAGAAAGTGAAAAACACAAAAAAATCTTTTACAGGAATCGAAACGCACACGTGCTATACACCCCAAACGAACTTCCATTGATGCCGGACTAAGTTAACTGACCCTTATTTATCATTGTGTCAAACGAATGGAAATATAATGTTTTTTTTAATCGCAATAACAAGGGATTGGCGACAATTCATACAAAATGAGTTCGATTTCGTTTCCTTTGAACGAATGATTTATATGTATGGAAAAACCCTTGAAAACAAACCGAAGTTTTGCTTAAATTTATGCATTTTATGTGCCTATCGAAATGTTTGACCATACTTTCGACGAATTACTTGGGTTTATCGAGTTAATTGTGCGTATTTGCCACGATTGCTCTATTTTATGCCAGAAATGGTAGGTTATCGCTTGCGGGCACAATGTTTGATTGACCGAGATTTTAACGAGAGAAACATTGATGTTATCGATGCGGCACATAACCGAAATAAACACTTGAATACCCAGATGAACTGAAGTAGATGAAACCAAAATCTGTGTGTGTGAACACAAGAGCAAATGATTTTGGTGTAATAAATATACAAACGTGGCGATGAAATCACAAAAGCAAATATGAATGCTCGACTTCCGGTCATAACGTTTACTTATACCAATTGTCTTGGGGTAGGATGATTTTGGGAATTAATTCACAATCCACAGTATTTCATATGATTTGCCTACGGTGGTTTATCTATTTTATTTGATTTTGGACTAGAGAGTGTTGTTAGTGGATTTCCACTTTGCAGAATGGTATAAAAATTGGTTGTTGAACCAACGTTGTTGTTATTATTTGATGTACTCGCTGTACTTGGTTCATTGCACGATTCTTCGTCGATGATGCAACTACTATCGGCGGCCGATGGGATGGTCGGTAAAAACCGCACACTTAATCGTGGCGATGAACATGATGGTTCATTATGCTCTTCTTGCACCGCATGTTGTCGTACTAATCGCGGCTTGGCACTGATTATCAACGACTTGCCTGAATGGAAATGGGAGAAAAGGAAGTAGGTTAAATGAAATTTTGAACTCGGTTCTGTGGTCAGTCCTTGAGGTTGTTTTAAGTTTTGGACTTTTGCGACTCGTGGTTTTGACCACAGATTTTACTCGCTTTTAGTTTTCCGTGATGGAAAGTTATTTTAGTTCTTTTTCGTGGTTTTTGATAGTTTTTCGACTTTTTTCACTTTTAAAGAGGACATTTTCGAGCATTGAGATCAGAGACTGTTTTGAACAATGCATGTCTTCTCACTGGAAGGAACCGGAGGAGCACTGAGGAGTGAAGCTCCTCCCCACATATATCGCCCTGAGAAACAGTCTCTGATTGAAAAAAACCCTAAAAAAATGTGCGATAGTACTTACCAGTTAACGATGGTGTCGGTGTCGTGCAAGCTGCACTCGATCGTGACAGTCGAAAAGTGGAAGTGCTTGCAGTTGTGCCCGAAGCCGATGAATCATTCCTTGAGCTCGATAAATTCGAATCTTGTGATGTTTTCCTAGTCACTAACCACGATGAATGTCTACGCCGTGTGTCCAACACCCTCAACGGAATCGAACAATGATGCGGAGGTCCATGTCTCCACGAGTCCGATCGAGACGAGCTAAAATTATCGCTCGACACCGAACTAGCTCGTTTAAATGGTTTTTGTTGAATTTCCGCAATTTTATATGCATATTGATCACATCGAATGTCCCTCCGAATATCCGAACGTTTTTTCGGTTTTTTGCATGTCACGCGATTCCAAATGCGTTTCCAAAATTTCGGTGGCGTTTCGTCATGCGGAATACTATGTTCCAATAATTTTGAGCATGCACACATTTGTCCGGTCATCAACGGTGGCAAATCTTTCGATGACCGTTCGCCCAATGAATTTGTATTGGCCGGTGTTTGTCGATTGCTAAAATTCGAACTATGCCTACATCGTCCGATGCCACGTGTAACACGCGATTCTTCAATCGTCTTACAAATGAGTACGCAATCTTTTTTAAATTGTTTTGTCATAATTGCATACAAAAATGGATTGCAACATGAATTTAATGGCAACACAAAAACGGTAAAAACTTTTGCCTGATTTAGATTGATGAGATGCACTCCAAAAACGGCGGTGATTGATAGAAATGCAATTGGTGACCAGCACAAAAAATCGGTAAATACTAAAAGTGCCATACGTTTTGCAATACGTGAATCATTTGAATTCCATGCTTGTGAACCACGAATGGCGCAGTACATTTTCAAATAGCAACCCATTAGAATGACAAATGCCACACCATTTATGAACATTAGAAAAATAACATAGGCCAAACTTGCTGGACCATTGGTCGTTTCGAATGGCAAACAAATGGCAAATTTTCGATAATCCGATATACCAATCAATGGCAGTGATGCCATTGTGAAGGAGAACAACCATCCGAATATCATGATGTAGCCGGCATGTCGAAGTGACAGACGTTTGTTTAAGTGCATCGCATGGGTTATTGCATAATTTCGCTCCAATGTTATCACAGCCAATGTATATACGGATAGTTCGGACGATAGAACGGCCAGGAAACCAGCTATTTGACATCCAACACTCATTTGCCATGGTATTGCAAACATACGAAATTCACCTAATGTTGATGCATCCACAACGGCCAATATGCCCAAGTAAATGCCCATGAAAAAATCAGCGGCCGCTAAATTACACACCAAAAATCTTGGCACATCCATTTTTGAACGCGAAAATATTAACACAAATACAACGGTGCCATTGCCAAGCATCGCTAATAGGAATACGACCCATACACCGCACCGCAGTGTCCACCAATCAAATAAGTCTTGGCAGGGTAGAAATGGTCCTGGTAAATGAGATAGAGATTTTTGGAAAGAGATTACAATGCTGTGGAAAATGTAAGACAACGAAATGGGGGAAGGAGGGAGGGAGGTAGAGAAAAAGTGGAAAGGAGGTGGTCGAAAAGAAGAATAAGGGAACGAGGTGTAAAGAGCAGCAAAGAACAAGAGAGAAAGAAAGAAGGAGAGAGAGAGAGGAGAAGGAGAGAAAGAGAGAGGTGAAAAAATAGAAAGAAAAACACCAAAAACAACGATGAAGTCAAAAAATGAAATGAGCATCGGAGTCAAGGTAAAAAAAAAGTTTTCCAAAAGACAGCAGTTAAATAAACACAAACAAAGAGCACAAAAGAAAATTACAAACGACAACAAAATTAACTCTTCCCCCCAACAAAAAACCCCACTGTCTCACTCTTAAATATGTCTTACCTGGTAATGGTAAACATTGTACCGATCCTGCTACTAAATCACTGTTCAATGCTCTTGTTGGCGACATTTCTTCTTCGTAATACTCTTCAACATAGGTTGGCAAATTGCCCGGATACGTAAAATCTTGCCCGAATGAATCCCACAGTTCATTAATTTGACTGCCAAACTTTTTGCTCAAGTTATCTGCAAATATCGTTTTAAAATGACAATTCAAATAAACTCAATACGATGTTCAACTTCAACAAAAGATTGCGAACAATTCGAATGAAACATTTCGAAAATGTTCAATTGGATTTTAGTTCAAACGATTGATGGTTCTTCCATATTGAACAAATTCTATTAAAATGAGTGCATTCTTCAATGTGAACGAACAAAAAAACTTCAAAAACATACGCAATTGTGGCCAAATATCCGTTTGACTGCTGTTCCACAAGCTCATATCGAATTTACTGTCAGTTGGAAAGAGGATGGTTTCCTGTATTGGTGTTGTTTTTGGCTTGCTTTTCATTGTGACAAGTGGAAGAAATGCACAACAGTGATACGCATATGACAGCACTAATGTCTGTTACAGACATGACATATGGCGACAAAAAAATATATGAAAAATGCAAAACACTTTAATTAAACTGAAATCGCAGAACAAAAATTACATCGATCTATTACACTGCAAAATGTCACTCGGCGGGTGTTCTGTGTAATTCACGAAAAAACATACCTGGATGCGAGGGAATGTTTCGGGTGGTGGAAATTCCCGTAGTTTTGGATTATTGAACGTTTTCAAATGACGAATGTTTTGCATGTTATTCTTTGGCAACGTCGGAAATATGTTATTGCCCAAATTTCTGAATTGAGTGGAAAAAAATCAAATAAAAAACTTTCTTTGAAAATAATGAATAAAAGTTATACTTACAAATCTTCAAGTTGTTCAAAACCCATGAATGATTCGTCATGAATGAACGAGATTTTATTCCCTTCTAAATCTCTGTGAAACAATGGAAAAGAAAACTCGATGAGATACATCGAGTATTTTTGTACGAAGAAAACAAAACTTACAGTAATTGCAGCCTTGGCACACCGTCGAACGCATCCTTTGGAATTGTTTCGATTTTATTGTACGATAACAACAGATCATGTAATTGACCCAAACCCTTGAACGGTGTTTCGTGTATCGATGTGATTCGATTATCCGATAAATCTCTGTGAAAATAAACACCCACAATGTTCAATGTAAACAAATTGAATGACGCATGAATATCACCCATTCACAGGGAATTGACATGAAATGAACTGTGTGGATACGATTTACTTACAAGATTCGCAAATCTTTACAATGCGACAAATCGGGAACACTTCTAAGCCGGTTTGACTTCAATTCTCTGGAGCATTTTTTCCAAATAGAGAGAGAAAAAGAACGGGATAGAAAAACAAATGAAAAGAATGAACATTAAAGAAGAGAGGAATAGGAAGATGTACAGAGAAAGCGAGAGAGAGGAAGATAGAAAGAGAGATATGGAAAGAGAGAGGGAGGTTGAATGGGGAGAGAAAGCAAGAGAGAAAGAGGAGGGAGAGGCGGGAAGGGGAAGAGAGAAAGAGGGGAAGAAAGATGGAAAGAGACGGAAAAGGAGAGAGAGAAGGAAAGTGAAAGAAAGGAAGAAAGAATATAAAAAATAAGAAAGGAAGAGAGAATATAAGAAAGAAAGGAAGATACAAAGATGGGAAGGTGAAGCGAAAAGGAAAAGACCGCTTAAAATGCGTATGAGAGAAAACGAACGAGGAAATGATTGGTAGCAAGAGGGTCGAAATGTTCGACTAAAAAAATTGGTTCGAGTGAGGAATTCAAAAGATATGAATGAAAGTGAGAAATAAAAGCAAAGGAAAAAGATGAAGACAGAGTTTGAAAAGATAAAGAGACAATGCGAGAGTCATTTATAGAAAAAGCGAAAAGTTCAAGTAAAAAAAGTGTATTAAAGATAAAGAAAAACAAAAGAGTATCAACTTGATAACAGCAGCACATATCATCGAAAACAATCCGCCAAATCCAAAAACAAAACTTATGTGGAAACTTACATGCTTTTCAAGCGTGACGAATTGCGGCACAGTGTATTCGGAAAGATGGAAATGTTGGCTCGATCCATTCGTAAGATTTCCAATGCCGGGCATCCTTCAAACGACGGTAGTACACTCAAACTTTTGGCATCCGATAAAACCCTTCAAAATAACGAAAATCTCACATAAATTCATAGTAACACATAAAATCTCCTTGTTTTCATTTCGATTTCACTTTCAATATTTCACCATCTTGGCCTAAAACTTACAGTTTTCTCAGTCTTGGCATGCTGTGAAGTGCATCAAATTGAATATCACCTAATGGATTGCCCCGCAATTCCAATATTATTAGATTCGCTGGAAGTTCATCTTTGTGTATGGTATTGATTCGATTTCCCGATAAAAATCTATCGCAATCCGAAAAAAATGTCCATAGAAATAAATCAAAATAATTTTGCATAAAAATCGAAATCGAATGAAATTTTATTATTATTGGTTTTCACATGACTTACAGTTCCTGTAGATGTGTCAATTTTGTCAAATTGTACGGAATGAGTGTAAGCAAATTATCATCCAGGTCGCTATAAAGCAAAAGACCGCACATAAATCAATACTTCATATATTTTTGCTTCAAATTTTTATGCACATAGAAATTGGTATTATATTCAATTTGTCAACATTTTTTCTTCTCTCTATGAATGCAAGCGATTACTTACAGAACTCTTATGTTGGATAAATTGCTTATCGCAGCGGCTGTTATATTTGTCAGACGATTTCGCTTCAGAGTGCTTGAATCCAAAATGAATTGCGACGAACGCCAAAAAGAATTCAAAGAAAATAATAAAGAAAATCAACGAAAGATATCGTTTAATGTATTCTTAAATTCAGACAGTTTTTTTATTGGGCATTATTGATGCAGACACAGTCGCATCGAAAATTGTAAGTTCGTTGATAGAAAAAAATGACGATGGAAAAACTTTTCGCCCGAAACTATTTTTTCTGGCAAAACACAAAAGCTAGAGGGGGAGGGGGAAAAAAGGAACGACAAATAAAACACACTCACAGATATCGCAAGTTGTCCAATTTTGGAAAATCTCCAACGTTTATATTAAGTAGATGATTTCCTCCTAAATTTCTATAAATTCCAATAGACGAAACGAAAATAGTGGGAGAAGAAAAAAATCAAATCGGATTAAATTATTCGGCATGGTGTCTCACAAACCGCACACAATACACAAGTGTTAGTCAAATTTTGATATGGCGCATATTTATACTAAACATACAAAACATTTCAGGGTGCTCTTTTCTCTCTCTTTTCGTGTTATGTTGCACTCATTTGATATGAGCTTACAAATGAACACAACTTGAAAAGATTGTAAATGGTTTTGGAGAAAAATGACTCTTTTTTTCGGTCTTTTTTTGATACCCAATATTCACATTTATATTCCAGAGAGAAATACAGATTTTATCGAATGCGAATGATACTGTTTCCAATGACTAAAAAAAATCTATGCATGCAAGCTTTTTTTTCGGTCACACAGTTTTTGTTTGCCAAGTTCGTTTTTCACACTCGATACAATCAATTGCCATTGTTGCTTTGTTAGTAGTTTAACACATACATAAAAAAACACAAACACACCAATAAGTTAGTTGAACATTAGGATCGAAATGAGATGAAAGTGAAACTCTTCCACATTTTTCGATCATTCTCGATGAAGAATGAGCAACAAAAATTCACTATATCTCGTTCTCACTGAATTTTCCATTTATTGTCGCCAATTTGATATAGAGATAGCGATATATAGTGTTCAAATGTTACTGCTTCTTTGTCAAGTTCAGATTTTAGGTCGTTTCAGTTGAATTTTTCATGCGAATTTTGAATTTCCAATCTTTTAGTCACCAAATCTGACCAAACGGAAAGCAATTTTGGGTATTTTTTACATATCAATATTTTTTTTATTAAATTTCGGACATTTTTGATGCAAATATTTACTTTTCCGCACACCTAGTGTAGAAATGGTATTTTTTATTCAAATTTTTCAATATGTTCGAATCAGAAAAAAAATGGAAACCAGAAAAAAATGGTGATATTTCCAAAATATAGTGCCAAAAACAAAAATTTTGCTGCAATCACTTAGCTCTCGTCTCAAATGAGCCTTTCTATTGTGTCACACACCAAACGAAAAACAATAACACCAATTTTTGTGGCAAAAAAAAAATCAAACCGGGTGAATTCTAGGCAAAAGTATACTTTAAATGAAAGTTTTTGTTTGTTTTGATGTTCGCAACACTCACAATATTTCTAGTGTTGGTAAACCAGTCAATGTTTCGGTTGGCACCCGTTGCAGCATATTTCCTTCAAGCCGAAGTGCCCGTAGACTCTTCAATTGTGCCAAGGAAATATCATCTAATTGCATAACTGCATTATTGTCTAGTTGTCTAGTGCATCGATCAAACCGACAGACATAATCAAAGAACGAAAAAAACAACAACAAATTCAAAATAATTGCATTCATGATTTCAATCTTTATTGAGCGGCTCCGCTTCACAAAAACCCTGTGTGCCTTTTTATGTGATGAATTTGAATGAATAAATGCATGTTTTTTCGGTTCGTTTTTATCTGGAATTAATTTTAGATTTGATAAAGTTGAGCACTAAAAACGACAATTTGACGTCGAAGCCACTGTCTACCATTTCTCAACACACACTGTTGATCCCGCCCGTCAATTGAATGGACACAATTGCAGTGTTGCATGTTTACCAATTTTCCATCTCAGTCAACAATCTTATGTGACTTTGAAAGAAGCTCGTCCAATGAAAATAAACAATTCGAAGGAATTTTCAAGGCACCACAAAACATACAGGAATAAATGACAATATTTGCAATATTGTTATCAATCACATTTTCTTTGAACGGAATTTCAGCTTTTTCTTCTATATTTAGGGGGAAAAAATGCTCGTACACTTTGAGAGTGGAACGATAAAGAAACGAGCGAATACAAAAGTTTATCAATTTTGAAGTTATCGATGCATCACAGTATTTATCGACTTGGAAAATGGCACCAATATCGTTGAACTATTTATGGACGATTTCCGGTGGAATTCATCCACTGTCTACCATTTCTCATTTCTCATCGTCAATTCATTAGGGCAAAAATATTTGTCTACTTCTACTTAACGTCGTTTTTATTTTGTCCTTCGTTTTTCTTTGCTTTCCTTTTTTGGTGTCCATTTCATCTTTTTCCATGTTTACTTCATTTTTCTTTAGTTTGCTGTTTTCTTATTTACTTTGGGGTTTTCGAATCTTTTATTCCGATGTTTTCATTGTTTTTATTCCTACACTTCACTTTCGAACATGAACGTCGATTACCAAATTAAATCAGACGTTCTATGTAATAACCACATTTTCAAGCAGCTGAAAAACAGTACATTTGGATGGGCTAGTTGCTGTATGTGAATTACATGGAAGAGGTGTCCGATCGTGCCTTCTGACCAGGTCTCCCCGAAAATGAAATGGCCCCTTTAAAAATTGTGATTTTTCGGAATTTCAAAATTGGAGACTTTTTTGGTCCTTGTGTTTTAAGAGACAAAATATGTACTAGAAGCACGGAGTCGAACCGACTTGTTCATGTTTTTTTGGTGATTGGGCATTACTTGAAAAGTTGGACGGGAAACCATTTTTGACTTGAAAAAAAATCCAAAAAGATCCCAAAAAAGGGGATGGACGAACGGATCTTTATGAGATTTCAAAAAATATATCAATTCCCTCCTTTGAGTGCCAATTCCAACATAACCGCTTTCATACATCTGAGCTCCAAATGTGATGTTTTAGCTGATTGAAAATCATGCAACGTCTGATTTCGAACCAAAACCAAAGAAGTTTGTAATCCGATAATGAAAATGCGAAAATATTATGCGTTGAAAGAGTTTAGCCGAAAGGCGAGTAGTTCTTGTCTGATAATTCCACGAATAACAGTAATTTTCTGGTATTTTATTGAAGTCGCAATGTTCGTTTTATTATTATTATTATTATTTTCCACATAATTGTTCAATGCCATTTTCGCTTGAATATGTTGCTCTTATCAGTTCTAAGAATATAAGAGCACTATTCTAACCGAAAACAATGGTTTAATCGTTGATTATGATTTCTTCATTCAATTTCTGCTTAAATGTGTCTGTGTATGTTGTTGTATTGCTCTGAAACGAGCCGCGTGGGTGGAATTAGCCATTTTAAGACGTTTAAAATCCGATTTTATGTTCATCAAGCTCATAAAAATTAAATGTAATGCGTGCAAATTGCGTTTAAATGTTGTCTTATAAGACAAATATGTCGATGTCGTTGTGTTTTTCTGCCCTCTGGGGTATTTCTTTCAAGTACTTTTCACAGAAAATGCATATTCAAACCCAAACAAATCGTATTGAGTCACAGTTAAATCACACCCGATGCTATCACATGTCAAAGCACAACTTCTCTTTTGAATGGCTTTTCTCAATTCAACACTTGTCACAAATGAGATTTTTTACTGTTGTTTCGTTTTTTTATGATGCTTTTTCGTTTCTCGTCGATTGTTATTCTTATCGTTTTAAGTGAGTCCAAGTGTGAGGTAATTTTGTTTCAAACAAATTGAACCATTTACAAATCATTGTCCTTTCTCTTTCTAGATCGAAATTGTCGACAATTGGCGAAGAACCATTGAAAGAAAATGAGATTTCTTTTACTTCTTTGAACGATTTTTTCGTTAAATTTGCCTAATTCGACTTAAGCTGAAAATTAAAACTTTTCCGCTTTTACGCCACGAGCAACGTGTGTTGTGGCAAAGACCGTGCGGACTGAAATAAAAAAAAAACAGTCTGTACTTACAATGCATTCAAATGCGGGAGATGGCTTAAAGCTTTTCCGGGTATAACAGAAAGGCCACAGTTATGTAATGATAAACGTTTTAGTTTATTTAATCCTATAAATGCGTCTGAATCAATATGTAATAAACTATTGTCGGATAGAATGCTGAAATGGAAAAATTGCATTACATTTCGAAATTTTCAATGGAAATGGTAACACTTACAGTTCTTCTAAATGAGGTACAGCATCGAAGGATCTATTTGGCAGCGTGGTTATGTTATTGTTACCAAGGTCCCTGTATACGTGCAAAAAAAATGTTCAGTTTTTTATTTGCCATCAAAATCTTGTTCTTAAGCAACAGTAATGTGCAGAGGGTGTAGGACGTAGGTTCTTCCTCCCGGTCATCATTTCTGAATTCTGACCAAGGTTCCGAGGAGTCCGATTACCCTCTTCTTGCCCCCTGGAACTTGAAGACCCTTTTTTCAACTTGCCAGGGTATCGAAATGAAGTTTTCACCTTTTTTTTTCAAAACGAGCCCCCTGAAAATCTACTCTCGCACATTACTGTCAAATAATTAATTCGTAACCACTTACAATTTGATTAAATTCTTTGGTAGTTCGGTAGGTGTTTCATTCAATCCAATCGAACGGCATGATAGCGTCAGTTCTTCCACGGTGCCAGAGCATTGGCATCCACGTTTTTCCCATGTCGCACACAATTGTCGCGTTGATACGCCATATGAATCAAATTGTTTCAGTGCTTTATCGTAAATATCTTTTGTTTGTCGATCCGAATCCGGTGTTAAAATCACCACCGATTCGCTCATCGAAGGTTTTGGTTTCACTTTTTTTTGCGTTGTTGGCGTTGTTTTTGGCTTAAATTTCGTTGTCCATTCGAACGGAAGTGTTGATGCCGACGTTGGCAACATTGAAGACAACTTTGTTGTCATAATCGCCGTCATCATCGTCGTTGTTGGTTCGGCCATATGAACAACGCCAACATTGACGCTTATGGTGAGCAGGACCAGTAGTCCTCTCACCCATGCCATGCCAATCCGTGTTAATTATTTGATGAAAAAATCTGTTCACTTTATTAATACAAGCTCAACACAATAAAACTCGCTGTAATGAAATGTCTTTGCACACAATTCTCATATTTATGGGTCATGAGCCGGATTTTGCGATTAAATTTTGTTTCCCTCAAAAAAAAAAAAAAAAACAATTTTACAATCGATTAAGATTTTCGATGCATCTTTGCAAACGAATAAAAAAAACTTTCGGGTTGTATTTTGATTTGACGTTATTTTCTCGTTTAAAGTTGTTAAACTAAGTTTGTCGCCAAAACTGTTTACAGAGAAGATTGATTACCAAACGACCTCCGTCGAACGTGTTTTTACTTTTTTTCTTCGGTAACAACAATAATTTCGAAGAAGCATCAGCAAAAAGTTTCTATCACACTGTGCATTACTTCTTGATCTCTTGTGCTCGTATCGTCTTCCGTTTTCTCCACGTTCTCACTTTAACTTCTTCCTTTTCGTTTTACTCACGTTTCGGCTGTTTTCCTGCTTTTTCTTTTCATTCCCCCAACCCGGCTTTTTTCATTCACTTTCTTTTCTTCTGTTTTCTTTGCAATTCCGTTCTCACTCCTTTTATTCGCGCGCTCAATTCAAACGAAGGTTCGACTTCACCGACAGCCGCTTTTATGGCTTTTCTCAACGATTTCAAAATTGTGTGCATAGATTTTTGTCTGTGTATTGGATTGTGTTTCGGATGTTGCCTTTTATTGTTAGTTATTTGCATTTATTTAATGTCGTAAACTGTAACAAATGGCACAACAGTAAGATGGCACAGCATACAAATAAGATGAATGTGATTCCATATCTGCAATAGAAAACGAAACGACATGTATAATAGTAAAAGATAAATAGCAGAAAAGTGGATGGCAAAATGGAGATTTTATGAATTTAGTATATGAATAAACATGCATTACAATGTGATTAAAATTAACGAGACGGTTATAAATCTACGCTTTTATGCGCCGCACAAAGTGCCGACTGTATTTGCTTGTCAATTGCTGCAGAAAATGTTACAATGTGCAGAAAGTCGAAATCAACAGCCAAAAAAGAGAAACATTCACGACGCACTTGTTTCTACTTTTTCGCTGAGTATTTCTCTGTGAGGTAATCGACATCAATCGAGACATTTTTCTGTAATTTTCCTCCATTAGAAAAGGAATCTTCTTTCGGTCAACTTAATTTAAAAGATTTTCCGCTCAACTTCTACTCGCAGATTCCAAGAATCGCACTCAATGGGAACGAGAGAAATCAAACCAAAAAAAGAAATCGGAAATCATTCAACGTACCCGGATCGGTCGAAATGTAAATATTGGTCAAAAGTAAACAGAAGATATGTGCCGTAACCGAAATATTGGAATGGAAAGTGCCACATTTACTACATTTTGACATTTATGGCGAAATCTTTTGCTAACCGAATTGTTATGCCAGCAGTAAACTCATTTTTCACGCCATTCTTCTTTTGTTTTTGGAAAATTTGTCACGTACACTATGGAGATGCCGTGTTTGCATCTAATCAAGAAATAATTGATGTCATTCCACCTAATACCGAATATGTGAACAAATCCGTTTCTCTTCCGCATGCATTGTGTGATAGAAATATATTAAAAAAGCATTTACTCATTTGATAATGTGAAAATTGGACGTTTATTTAAATCGCGTGTGCATTTTTCTACAAAAACCATTCTCTAAACTACGTGAAAGTGTCACGCCACGACTCGTGTCGGAATAAAATGTTGTTTAAACGTAAAATATTCGTGTTTTATGTCAGAAATTGGGTAAATTGCCTTCTTATCTCATTTCATTCCAAACTTGAATGCCTGAAGCAGTACCTCGAGCAGTACTTGAGTATTTAAATCACAATGAATCAATTTGCTCTGATTTTCATTTCGAACCACTTCATCAATTATTTTTTTAATTCAATATTAATCCGAGCTCAAAAGAGAGCCATTCTCCACGTTTCGAGTTAAGATACTGGTTTAATTAGTTTTTACATGTAAAATGAGCAAGAATTTCTTTTTTCAAATGGCAGCGTCCACGTAGCGCTTTTATCTTGTATGGAACCAATTCATTTTTGATGACCCTTGAAGTGATGCTCCAGTCATGAGGATGCAATTTGCTTTTTTTTCAAAGAAAAATCACATTCGCCTTCAATTAATCGCAGAAAGTGATTTTTTTGTTGTAGAAAATCTCTAAAATGTGTTTGTTGATATTTTTTAGAGCCAATCAAATTTTAATGGTACGCTTAACAAAAAAAAAAACGATTTACACTACAATTTGGTCTTTACTAGTATCACTTGGCAATTAAATTGATTTTCGTTTTTGTTTATGTTCGTTGAAAATTAATTGGATTTATACGACACTTTCAAGCTGTATGCGCCATAACAATGAATAAGATACAGTCAATTTCGATGAATATTTTATGGGCTGTTGAGTTTAAAACAGTGTGTGCCACTTGTGTTGCATCCGTCCACTACTAGTAATATCATCAATCCTCTTGGCAGTAACAGAACGCCATAAAATTTAAGTAGCAAACATAATTCGTTTCGAAACTATTTGTCGGGATGGTGAATCTCGTAGAAAATTTTATATTTATGCAAATGGTTGTGCACAAAAAAAGACTCTATTAAAATAAAACTAATTACCGCCGAGAAGCGCAATTTTTTTTCTAGAAAAAAAATATAAAAAGATATTGGACACAAATATGCTTGAACTATAGTGCAGTTATAAATTAATGTTGACGGCATTTTATGAGAAACGATAGAAAGAAATGAAAAAGATCTTTTAACGATGGAGAAGGTGAAGGGGGATTATTTTAATATTACGCCAAGCACATTGTGTGCACAAAAATGTTTTCTGCATTCCATAAGAGATGTGACCTATTTAATTATGTCTGTTGGATCTTTACAGCTTTCTTTGTCTTTGGAGCTCTTTCACTCGGTCTTTCTCTCCCTATGTCTCGTTTTTGCTTTCTCCTTCCCATTTTCTGCTCCCTCATCTCTGTTATTATAAAAACTATAATTTAATGCGTCAAAAATCGTGTCTGTCTGGAGATTCGATGACATTGCGTTGCCATTGTTGAACATCAATTTAATTTGTGTGAAACGGCTCCTTATCGATGTATTGTCAATCAGTTGGAAAATGTTGACATTCCAATCCGTTGAATAAACCGATTGACACGCAATGCAAATATGTAACGCGCGCTTTCACTAGAAATATTCATTAATTTCGGCGTCAATCTGATAAATTTCTTGGAAATTTATTTCAAATTAATTTGCACTAGTCTTTCGTTAGTTTTAGGGCTTGTAAGTCAGACGACGTAAGCAAAGACAAACTCAATTTGAAAAAACTTCAATTCCGATATGCTTCAACTAGTTTGCGGTATGTAACGGAAGCAAATTAATGCCATTCATGACTTTGGTTTTAATGAAATAACCATTAAAGTTGGGTGTGTAACCAAATTAAGTTTCGTGGCGACGGTCCTTGCGCTCGCACTTGAATAATTGCCGCAGTTTCGAAAGAAATGCCATTTTCGCGGCTTGATTAGTTGATTTTATCTGAACTTTTTACATGGGAATGGTTCGCTCTAGCTTCGATTTCATCGACTTTTTCACATAAACACTCACAAAAAAGCAGGGAAAATACGCAAACAAGCGGAAAATCCACCAAAAAAGCAAAATGTTTGTTCAAACACCATCCATCTATGTAAACATTGATTTTTGTATGTGAATTTCTCAATCCATTGATTCGCTTAATTCGAGCACTGCTACATTTCAGTCGCCGATTTGATTGTCTGATTCATTGTAACTAACGGAGTGCGCACAAATCGATTTTTATTATCCATCTGTATAGTGTGTGTAGTGAACATCTGCAAATAATGGTAATAATGTGAACAATTAGCGAGCAAACCCCATTGGGACAATTCACTTTAATATGTACACGATAATGGTGAAATCAAGCCCCAGCGCAAGCATTAAACAATGAATATGTTTTATGCATGACAATAGCAAGCGGTTAAGTATGTGTTTCACAACACAAACAAAAGCGAATGGTTTGTGTAATGACAGCATTTGATTATCACTTAATTCCCAACAGATAAATGGCCTAAATGAATTATGATCAAATCACAACATATTTTAACACACTCTTTTTGCGGTTGCAATTGAACGCGGACTTTTTTGGGCTCATGCTGTTTGATAAGCACACAAAATATGTTATATATTCTTGTTTGTTTGATGAAACTGAGTTCGTCCACACTCATTTTTCTGGTTTTTCAACTTCATGAACAAATTCATGTGGTTTTGCTTGAAATTAATATAAAAAAATCAATACAAATTTCAATTTCTATGGAAAACGAAAACTTTTTACATATCGAATAAACTTGCATCGTTTTTCAAACTAATTTATTTGATGCGTCATCTTTATACATCTGATGCGGTTTCGATGAAATTAAATAAAGTTTTTCGCTCGTATATACATAGTGCATGCATGCATTTTATACTGAACGCCCACATTTGATGGTAGACATTTGCCAGCGATGCATATGACGTGAAATAAAAGTTTCGATATGAATTTGAACGATGTTTACACCATGGGAACGGGCTTAGTAGTCATAATTTTGCCTCTTTTGGCATTTTTATTTGAATAGATGTATGGGATCTATTTTGAACTCAGGAATGGTTTTTTTTAAAGAAAATAAATGTTTTTTTAATAAAAGAAAAGAGGCCTCCAATTTGCATTATTCACAAGATTTAAGATAATTCGATGTGGTTGGTTTTGGTTTCTCGAAAAATTCCCTTTGTGATCTGATATTTTTTGGAAACCATCAACGTGTCGAAAATTCAAAATTCGCTCAGCTCATAAACGTTCCTTATTGGAAATCCCTTCTGTTAAAAGTAAAAAAAATCTTCTGACTGGCGGTTCAAAAGTTCCTGTTAGCCCCTCAAATGCACAGATTTGAGTTCCTTTGAGTCCTATTGGATCAATAGTTCCCTCCAAAGTTCCTTTCTTCTTTACTTTCAAACGCGAACGAATACCCTTCTCTATGCAATAACGCGTTGGAACTTGGAAGGTTAGCATAGTTCCCAATCTAAATTATTTGGAGTGTTTTGCAAGAATGTGCATTGAATTTTCCAAAAATAAAAAATTGCGTTGAATTTAATTTTAATTCTTATTTCTGCATATTTCAACACTTCAAATCGATTTCATGTCGATTTACATATTTTCGAATTAAAATTATTTTATTGCCAAACACGAAAAAAATGCTTTCATAACAAAACCATGCACGCTATGTTCTGACATCTGTCGTTGAAACAAAATCAAATAAAATGTCTGAAAACAATGATTTATATGTTTGACATGAACCCTCAGTCAATACATTAAAAGTGCCTACATGCCACAACCATTTCATTCGAGAAACTCGATCTAGGGGAAAAAACCAAAAAATGTCTTAAATTTTACTCAATTCTTCAAAAAAAAATGTATACATTTAAATGTGACTTTTATGTAAATTGATCTCAATGCTCTGAAATGAAACTACCGAATCCAATTTACCAAATGAGCGTGGAACGAGTGACAAAAACTGTCTCTCTATATATAAATAAAATGATTCCCGATGTTTCTGTGCTAGTGAAATAGTTTTTTTTTGGTTGGCGTATTGTGGATGTTAATACATTTATTGGAAAATCGCAATCGATTGTGTTGATATGCGGCGAATAGAGATGCGCATTTCACATGATTTCATGTGGAGAAAGTTTTCATTTTCGGTCGATCGGTTTTACGGTTCTTATGGATATGGGTATAACATCG